GCCACAGCTTGGTTGTTGCACTCTGCCAATACTGTGCGTGTGTTCCATTGGGATACCTTTCTGAGTATCCTAATACCACATGTTTGTAGCATCGCATAAAGCTCAACACATAGCAACAGTTGTTCTCTTGAAGAGCACGTTCGCCTAAGAGTCTTCCTTAATAGGAGTTATGATTTTCTTGTCTCGATTTTATGTGTCTACAAATCTTCACACAAACATAGAGTTGAAGCAAAACACTGTTTTAGCAGACAGAGGGACGGATTGGAAGAAATATTGAATGAATTCATGTGAATTTAATCTAGCGTACGCGAACGTAAAAACTTATAAAAAATATGCTTGGGAGAACTATTTGCTTGTTTTCCGCTTAATCAATTATCTAAATAAAGAAAGATTCTCAGTAAGTTAAACGAAATACGATCCGGTATCCGATTAGTGTAACGAAACCGACAAAGTCAACAGGAAGAGCAGTAGGTTGCAAGTGAACGAGCTGCTACTTTTGGTTCGATTTGCAGTCGTTTCGTCCTCTTAATTTTCAATCGGTAGCTTTCAATCGTTTTCTTTTTTATATTCGTTGCACTTTTTTATAACAATCATCGTTCAATCTTCTTTGTTCGTATTACAAGCGTTTTGACTGAGCGCTCATTCTTGCTGATGATTCAAGCAAGTACTTAGAAGCCTAGGGAAACAAGACAATCAAAGGAGATTTACCGTGATTGCAAGGAGAACGGAGTAAGACTGGTAAAACTGCTTTATTAATCTTTTAGCTGAATCATTGATTTTTTTCGTCAAAAACAACTAAGTAATGTTTCACATCGTTGGCAGATGGACAGATAAATCCATGACGGAGCAGAATGAATGAGTTGAAGATGACGAAGATGTGCAAAAACGAAAGCGAAAGTAAAAGAGAAAGAGAGAGCGAAGAAGAAACAGAGTTGATAGAGATAAAGACTTGTAAAGCCATTTTGACGACTTCTCCTCATTTGAGTCGTGGTCGTCATCATCATCATCATTCCTTCGCAATACGTCATCTAACCCTGATTCCATTTGTCTCTACCAGGATATTTCCTCGAAAGTTTTCAAATAGTCTCAATAATTGCTATAGCGTGTTTTCTATGGAAACGGAATTCCTTTGTGATGTTTCGTAAACGCTATTGAATATTCAGCTAGCGAGAAAAATGGAAGGAATTGAAGGATAAAACTACTTCTTCTCTGATCTTCTCCCACTATTCCATTTTCCCATGTTTTTCTCTTCTCTACATCTATCCATTTCAACGATTTCTGCATCGCTCTCTATGAAAATAAGAAAAAAGTGAAATTGTAAGCGAAAGATGATGCTGATGTTGGAAAAAGACGGGAAAGACTTTTCTGTAAAAGCATTCGCTTCCAACTCCTCTTGCCAATGGTCCCCTGATGAACTATTTGATTTTTACTAGCTTTTGATGTTTGATTAGCCAACGAATCTTTAAATATTTCAATGTTGACCTTTGTAATTTATCTTTAGAAGAGATCAGTTGTCTAAGTCACAAAGACTCAAACTACTGATAACTCAGTTGATGAAGCCTGATTTATGAAAACATTCATGTGTACTTCCATATGTCCTTCTAACACGCTGCATCACAGTTATCAGTGTTTTCTTTCCCCCCATTTATGACTCACAAAGATTCTTTTCCTTTCATTATACGTATGAGAATGTTTGATTTGATCAGTTGTCCTTGTTTTTTCCTTTTTTCATTCGTACCTATCTCGTTTTTACTCCTTATAAATGTAGGTTTCCTCATGTTTTCGTTAAGTATAGGCTTCTTGTTAAATTTAGAGCATCGCGCACTGCGTTTACACAGCGGTTAGCCCCTATCGACATAGCTAATCTTCAGCAGAAGCTCCGCCTTGTGGAGCATTTTTATAAACTTTAAAACACTTCGTATCAGTCTAATTGCTTTTTCGTCATCGAATATTTCAAAGATTGCATTGCTACTTTCACTAGAATGCTAGTCTTCGTTAATCCTTTCTTCAATTATCAGTTTGCTTCCATTTTCTGATAACGTAACCTCTTATTTCAAACGTTTGTGTGCTACTTTTTAGTTCTTCTTGATCTCTCTCACTATAATTATACAAGTTTTACCTAATTATATGGAATTCTAGGAATAGTGCGTGGAGATCACACTCCTGCCTAAATAGTCTGGTTTCCGTGGAATGCGCCTCGGTTCTTTTCCTTTCTGGTCAGTTTTTCAACTCACTGTTCGAGATGGTCAAAGTTTCTTTCAGGATTTATGTTCTGCTCTCCATCTCTCTACTAAACCACAGACCTGGGGTTTGTGTTCTCGCAACTCCTCCGGAAGGAGAGGTAAAATTTAATTTCTCACAACGCAGTTGCAGTTTTAATTTTAATTTTTCTAATCGGTGTAACCGGTCGGTCGCATTTACCGCTGCGCTTGCTTAACCCTCCCTCCTCGTTTTAATCAATTTATTTTACAGTTTTAGTATTTATTTATATCTTCAACAAATTTATTTTCCTATATCCTACTATATAGCGCCATGTAAGTGTGCACTAATTAGTTAAGCAATGAGAATGAACGCAATTTGCAAGCAAGCTACTCAGTTTTCCTAATAATTCCTCGTTTCCAGCCTCTGGAGGAAGCTCCTGCTTCTGTAGCTGATTACCGTTCTGTGGAAAAAGTTCCTTCTGTTGCAGGATGTAGGATAGAACCAATAACACATGGGGATGAGAGCTTCCATGGCTATACGTAAGTTCTCAAAGCTTCTGTATTAGTTTAATAGGAAATGTTTAGTGCCAAAGGTTCCAGCATTGTTGCTCCCAGCACAACAGTTCAAATTGTCATCTTTGGACATTGGTTAGAAGAGTTAAGCTCGGTAACTTAGGATGTCCAAGAGTTCTTCCATTTGTTTTCTATTTTAGATTTCGTTTGTTCCCTCGTTAGTCAGTGTGGCAAATTGCTCTCTAAGAACAGAAGATTTAACATTCGCTGCTACGGATTTTCTCATCCAAACCGATAAACGAATGATCGTCTCGGCTTCATTTCCTCCGTACGTTCTCGCATATGAATCCTGTCCAAAGGTTTCCTTTTAGAACTGAGTCAGGCGTCGCTTACCATTTATGTATTCATGCTAGATCAAAATTTGGAATTGTCTCTGACTTCACCGAGGTTGCAAATTACATAACTTACCATTGTAATAATTATGTTTTTAGATCTCGGATGCTCGTACATGGATTACTACTGAGCTCCCCGAACGTTTGTATTACTTTCCATTCCCCATTCAGGTAAGTATCACGATGGAGTAGTATATGTGCAACGAACATATTGCAGGTCTTTGTTATTGCGGCACTCTTAGTGCTTTCTGGTCTTTTCTCGGGTCTCAATCTTGGTCTCATGTCTTTAACACCCCAAGAGTTGATGCTTATTCAGAAATCAGGTACGTGTTGTAGAATAACTCATCTAATTCTTATTCGAATGGTTATTAAAAACACTAATATGTTCTGCTCTTGATTGATTTATGAATTTACAGGTTCAAAGTCAGAAAGACGATATGCTGACATTATCTTGCCTGTTCGTGAGAGAGGAAATTTGCTGCTCTGCTCTCTACTGATAGGTATACAACGAAAGATTAATTTGTTATCTAACTTGAAATTTTTAAAGGAAATGTTTTGGTTAATTCCGGAATCTCAATTCTGTTGGACGATCTAACGTCAGGATATGTAGCCTTAATAGGAGCTTCTGCTGGTATTGTAGTGTTCGGAGAAATTTTCCCCCAGAGTTTATGTGTGAAGTAAGAGAAATAAAATTTCCAGGAATCGTCTCATACTCCTCTGTTTCAGAAAAGGATTAGCTGTAGGAGCGCATACTATTTGGGTTACAAGATTCTTCATAGTTCTCACTTTCCCCGTAGCCTTCCCCATTTCCAAAATTTTGGATATTTTCCTGGGAGAAGAGGTGACTTCTTATGATCGTCGTCGGTTGATGGAATTGATCAAGATGTCGAACAACGACGGACTTCAAGTATGCCTCATACCTAATAAAGCCAAAAACCAAAGTTTTGCAGGAAGAGCTGAAGATTGCTGTAGGAGCTATGGAAATTAGTGACAAGATTGTCCTGGATGTCATGACAAAGATAGATGTGAGAGACTCTATTTTCCATTTTTCTAGTTTTTTCGTATTCAGGATGTGTTTATGCTGCCTTTCATGACTGTACTCAATACCAAAACTGTGGCAGAAATTCTTCGAATGGGTTACACCAGAATCCCGGTTTTCTCCGGTAATTCTATTGTTTTCACATCTTACACTTACTTGCCTCTTCAGGAGATCGGAATAATGTTGTATCACTCTTGTTTGTCAAAGATTTGGCATTACTAGATCCTGATGACAATTTCACCATACAAACAGTGTGTGGTTATCATCAACATCCTCTCCGTTTTGTTCTAGAAGACACTCCACTCAGAGTGATGTTGGAAGAATTCAAAAAGGTTTTATATTTTTTCAACCACTTAGCCATTCAATTGTTCTCAGGGAGATTACCATTTGGCGATGGTTCAAAGAATTGTTCAAAAAGGAGACGGTGATCCACATTATGAACTGGTTGGAGTTGTTACTTTGGAAGATATCGTAGAAGAGATTCTGCAGGTTGTTTATCCCGACCATTAGTTTTCATTACTAGTAATCCAGGCTGAAATTGTGGATGAAACCGACGCTGTCATGGATAATGTTCATAGAACAAGAAGGCGCGGAGCTCAGGTATACAAAAATCTTTTTTTTTTCTCAAAATCCCTTGATAATCCTAAGCAGTATACCGGAATAAGTCCGAGCTTCCGATTGATTTCCTTCATGAATGAGATTTTTATGTTTTCGCGTTTTTTCGTGTTTTGCAGGCTTTGAATTTAGTTGATTTTTGCGATTGAATGTAAAACTCTATTACAAGGTGGCCCTCAATTTGCTTTGATAGCTTGAGAGCATCCACTACGCAATTTCTGTTCATCCCATTATTCAATCCTTTTATGCGCGAGTGTTTGACGCATTGAAGTGGAACAGATTTCTGAATTCATTCTTCAATTTTTCCTTATTGCTCTGTTCCATAAATTATTTCCCATCACATGCTCTATCGCAAGCCTCTCTGATGAATGTGTGAGGGATAGAACAGGACGGAGTTCCTCCCCTCCCTTCGTTCTGCTGCCTCTTGGTTGTTTAGCTCCTCCCTCATCCAAGCTATCCGTATCTTCCCTCTCATACACATTCAGACTCAAAAATATACAGCATCTCTCTTTTTATTCCTTCTACATTTGATGTGTTGACTGCCTAAGTAGTTTGGGAGAAACTATAATAGTTCACGCANCATTCAATTTCTTACTCAAATCATATTAGCAATTGTTTTCCTACTACTTCGTTGTTTTTTCATTCGAAAATCTATCTCTTGAGTGATGGATTTTCTTTTGCGCCATTTCGGATTAGGACTATTGTACTCTGGAATTGAAGAATACTATTCACTGACGTATCCTGGTTCAAAGATGGTCGAAGTGAAACTCACTTTGCTCTGTGGAGAATACTATCCCAATTCACGTACAGAGCGTATTCCAACGGAAGTATTTAAATCAAACCCTATTAATTATCTTAATTCTTTTATTTCAGATAACTTATGCTGATCTACAAAACCGTGTAAATCAACTATTAAATGTGCGTCCCTGTTATCAGCAGATATACTTCCGCGGAGAGGAGCTGCCCGTAGTCGAACATCCTCTTCGATCAGTTGAGGATGGAGAAGAACTAA